TTTATAATCATTTACCACAGTCATATCTAACATCCTGGACATTTCCTTTCCCCTTCTCCTTGTATGGAGCGTGTTGATGAGGTCAGGGAGGGCACGTCCAATGACAGCTGCTCCTCGTGATGCTATCAAACAGAGAAATAACATCCGCTTTGATCTGACAGCTCAGACAGGCTTTAGGCACACACACCGAGACGGACTGTGACTGTGATGGTGCTGCTGGACTTTGGAGAAAGTTTTCTTTTTGTTTTTTTCCCAAATGCCATTGCCTCTCTGAATTCCAACAGATGAGCTCAGGCTACATAACTGTTACCTTTTATTGTAATGTGTTTTTAAATGTGTTTTATGTATGGATTTTTATTATGAATGAAAATTGAATTAATTCAGTAATTTACTGAGAGAGACAATAAAGCTTATCTATCTATGTATCTATCTGTACCAAAAAGAATCAAACAGATTTTTCTGACAAGCTTTTCAGTTGTGATTTGATTTTTGATTTATGTTTTAAAAATCACATTTCAGAACTATTTTTTACAACTCTAAAGGGTTAGCAGTTTTTATGCAGAATAAAACAGATATTTTGTTAGTTGAGGAAATTATTGTACTTGAAGTGTTTTGCCTAAGGTGATTTGCTAATTGTGTCAAATTTGCTATTTAGTTTGATTTTGCAGTCCTAGTATTGTGAATATTGAGGGATTTTTCGTTCTCTTTTTTTTATATATCTGTATTGTGTGATATTGAAAACAAATCCTTGTCAAATGTAACTGGCTGTATGTTACACAGTGATTATAAGAAATACCAGTAGTAGTTGTAGCAACTGTGAAAAGTTTAGTGAACTTCACTATATATTTAAGTTGTAGACCTTGTTCAGTCACTTATTATTGGTTTGCAGTCATCATATTGGTGTTGGCTGAAAAAAAAAAATCTATTTCAAAATGTGGGAAAGTTCTCCAAGAAGCCTCAAGCTGTTCAGATAAAGCAGGTGAACTTGGGCACAGTCGGCAGTTTGACTTTTTGCAATGACAGCTGTGGTGCCGTATAGAGGATGAGCTGATGACAGTTCAGATGTAAGGTAACTCAAATAGGTTGTGATATAGAATTTGAGGATGTCTATTTCGCATAGACTTTGTATCTTTCTGTGGTTTCCCCATTTACAAAATGTCAGAACAATGTATTTCCATCAGTCACTTAATTCCACATCAGAGGGACTTTACTTTTTGGATCAACTAACTGACTCAGTTAGGAGCTCAAGTAGGGTAAGGGAAGTAACAAAAAACAAGAAAAATATGGTATAAATAAAGTAATAATTTAATGAACAGGAATGTAAAAGAGAAATTTAACAAAGGGAATCTAAAATATATACACAAAATAACCTAAAGAAGAAAGAAAGGAACAAAAGAAACAAAATAACAGGTCAAGCAGGTCTATAAAAACACAACAAAACCATAAATGTCTCTAAACAAAAGTCACATAAACCTACAAACAGAACTGAGTGACAACTAAAAAGACACAAAATAGAACTAAACTAAACTTGTGTCTCACATACAATGTTAGACTAACAACACTAATGAGACGGACACAAAATGGCAGGCTGGCCACAAAGTCCAGCAGTCCCGAACTGGCACGGACAGTCTCCTTAAAGAGGGTGAGGTGGCTACAGCTGAGACAGAATTGGCTAGATGTAGAAGTGCCCCACCAATCAGGGACCAGAATGCAGCAGCCAGCCAGGAAGTGGCTGAAGAGCAGTCCACCAAGGGGCAAGAAAGAACTTATACACACACTAAACAAGGCAGCGAACCGGAGGCCAGGGGTCGTAACACTCACTAACATAAGTCTATGTAACCCCTCATTCATGGTAAGTAAGCAAGTAAGTTTTTATTTATACAGTGCTTTTCACAGCCATATATGTCACAAAGACACAATGGTGTGGATCCCTTTTTATGGAGTGGAAAGTTGTTACGGCAGGCTATATAAGGACACAGTTTTTAAATGTGTTTGTAAAGACAGGGGAGTGTCAGGCTTCAACTCCTGCCTTAGGGCTGAAGTAATCTAGCTCAGGGCAGTATCAATTTTTATCTTCTCAGACTAGCATCTTCAGATTGAAAATGAGTTCTGGATGGCAGGCAAAATGTCTAGATTTCAAGAAAATGGTCTGACTGACAATACATTTTTTAAAGCTGTTTTCCATCAACATAACTAACTATAATCTGAACTACTTTATCTTTACTTAGACTTGGACATTGGACTTGACTTATTCCCTTGTAGAAAAATCTATTTGGACACAGTAGTATAACAAAGCACAAGTATATATATATATATATATATATATATATATATAGTAATACAGTATTACAAAGCTATATACAAGAGGTCATAAGGAGAAACAGTGCAATGATTAAATAGTGATTGACATGACATAGGGTTATCTACACCTATATAAGGATGAGCTGTTGTACAGTTGTATGGAGTGTGGTATGAATGTAGCCCTGTATAGCCTTTCAACACACAAAGCTGTGTTTTGAAACTACTTCCAAACAAGAACTTCCAAAAACCTATTCAGACTAGAAAAAGCGATTTTCCCCTTCTAATCTGATCTGAATCTTCGCTCCAAATTGCAAATATTATTAAGACTGCGCTAGTGTTTTATGGCCCCTCAGACTTACAGTGTTAACTGTAGCCACCCGTCTGTAGTGCAGCTCCGTCTTCATCTTCTGTCTTTGTGATAATAAGAACATTTGTCGTCTAATGAGCTTCTTGTCAGTGGACCTGGTGTCATGGCTGAACAAAGCGTTTTAATCTGCGACTGTAGCTCTCTCTCATCTGTCCTGCCATGTCTAATCTCCATCTGATTCTAATGGAATACATATCGCACTGTACAAAGACTCTATGACCAAAACAGTGGTGTTAAGATCAAAAGAGTACATAAAAAATCTAGTAATAGTGGATAGTGAATAGTCCTTTCACAGAATTGAACAGTGGGTGGGTTCACATGACATTACACTGCAAATACTCTATAGTTTAAAGTGACTCATGTGAGATTTAAGATAAGTTATAGTGCTGTTACGTCATCAAAAACATACCTGGAATTGTGTTTTGTTTCATTCACACCTGCATTATTTGGTTGTCTACATCTCTAAAGCTCAAAATGCATAAATGCCTTGTGATGTCATGTAGTGGTACTTTTCAAGTTAACAGCTACCTTTTACCTTTATTTCAGTAGAGATTGGCCATTCCAGGGCTGAAATAATCCAAATGATTCTAGTGAAAGTGAAAGTGTATGGAGTTTAAAAACACAGTGGAGCACTAACTGTATTACCACATGACATCACTAGGTGGAACAGTTTTTTTCTGTTTGAGAGAAGAATTCACCTTAAATATGCAGGATATGTGTGTTAAACATGTGTGAATGAAACAAAACACAACTCTGGCTATGTTTTTGATGAGGAAACTTAAGTTCCGCATGTACTAAAGCACATCGGGAAGTTGTCAGACGACTTCATTCCCTGAGCGTATTAACCAGGGTATGGAGTTCGCGCTACGCAGCTGCCTTCTCTCTATCCGCAGATCGACCGAGAGAGGAGGGGGAGCGAACAAGAGAGGAGAGGGGAGTCGTGTCTTTCTTCTCGCTCCTCAGATCAGAATGAGTGGAAAAGTTCTGTGGCTCAAATCAAACTCTGCGGGTGTGCTTTGTGGCTCCTGTCTCGTTTAATCAGATCATAAAAAACATCAAATTTTCCGTGATGTTGTTGCTCCATTGATCTGGCCTTTACAGAGTCACCACAAGCACACAGAAAGTGCAGCTTAAACTCCAGGCCTGAATTAGATTTGGTCAGACTCAGGCTTATTTCTGTCACTGAACAAGTTGAGGCTTAAACTGGAACTGGAGCTATTTTCAGCTCAGGATTTTAGGATAAGCCTGGATTTGTTAAGCCACTTTGATGGAACGCCCCCCTGTCTGAGAGATCATTGTTATGAAAACACCCAGTTTCCAAGAGACCAACATGCCAGTTTTTATTTTTATTTTTTTTTTACTTTCACCAATAGTTACACAGTGATTTTAACCTGTTTATTATACACATTTAGAAAAAAGAAAATGAGTCAGAAAATTCCAAAGTTTCAAATTGTATGAATAAACAAAAGCCAGTCCGGGTCAGCTTCTACTGCTCACAAACAATGGTCCCTCATTTTAAATGGGCTGGTGATTCATCTGTGTGCTGGCCCCCTGCCTGTAGAACCCCAATTATTTAGTGCAATAAGTGCATATTGTACATTTCTGTCTTAGTCATACTCAGAGAATAACCTTTTAACAGTTTGCAAGCTCATGAGTCTCCTGTGGGTCTGTCTGCAAGATTGTTGTTTGATTTGCCCTGTTTGAATTAAAATCTGCCCACCACTTTTACTAAAGCAAGCAGGTGACCATTTTAAAGGTCCTTTTACACAAAATTGACTCATGTGAGCTTTAAGCCATGTCAGAATGTTGTTGCCTCATCAGAAACATACCTGGAGTTGTGTTTTGTTTCGTTCACACATGTTTGAGTAATATATCTCTATATCTCCAAAATCCAAAAATGCGCTGTTCCACCTTATGATGTCATGTAGTGCAGTATTTCCAAACTTTTTTTTGCAACCCACCTGAGGGTCGTGTCTCAGTCTTTGGTAGTTTTCAAGTGAATGGCTCCTTTTACTTTACTTCTGTAGGGATAAGAAATTCCAGGCCCAAAATCATCCAAATGATTCCGGTGAAAGTGTATGTGGTTTAAAAATACATTGGGGCATGTGACTATCCCAGACAGCTGTTTCTCAGTCATGGTTCAAAAGGGAAGTGGCCAGGAAGTGCGTCTTTAAGGGAAGAAACTAATACTTTTGGCAAATACTTTTGTAGTTTGCCCTGCAACACCATATACAGTTAAGCAGCAGAAAAAGTGGATGTAGATGTGGATGTAGAGTTTAGTTCCAAATATCAAGGAATTGTTTTGTTTGATTTATTTTTATTTTTTTTGCAGGTTAATAAGCAGCAACTCCAAGCCGTGAAAGAGCGCTTCTTGTCGTTTCTGAACGGAGAGACTCAGATTATGGCTGACGAGGCTTTCTGCAACGCTGTGAGGAGCTACTATGAGGTACGTCCTGTAGGCCCATTAAACCCAGGCTGAGCCCCTTTGCTTTTGGGGGCTCAGATCTCCTTTTTTTATTGAGAGTGATGCCAGAGGAGGAAGAGGAGGAGGAGGAGGAAGAGGAGGAAAAGGAGCCCTGGGGAAATCCTGGGTCTTCAGAGAGTCTCCCGTCTGCAGACTGGTGATGGCTCTGTCCAACATTTCAAAGAGGTTTTAAAGTCACCTGCTTCACGCTGCTATATATAGACTTTTCAATGGGTTGAAGGCTAACTTTTTTTTATTACACAGGAAATAAATTTACTCATCCAAGCAGGTTATAATATACTTTGAAGTAGTGGACTGAATGGATTTTTTTTTTTTTTTTTGGAGTTCATAGTGCTATTATTTTTTGAAGTTAGCAGTTTTTTGGTGCAGGTATATTTTACTCAGATGTGATAGAAATGGCTCAAACCATTTGGTGCTTCAATGTTTGCCAGTAGTAAGACTGTTTCATTTGAAGGAATTAATTGGACTTTTGTCTTCATTAAAGCTACCATTTGTAATTTGACTGACTGACCCGCCCCATTGTATTCTCACATATCACCACTAGATGCTATCTACGTTGCTGCTGTCTGATAGTGTGCAGCTTTGGCCTGACAGAAGACCAGAGAGCGCAGGTGAGCCTAAGGTCCTTTCTCGAACCAGTCCCTACTTATTTTACTTAGCCCTTCGCACTACATTAGCTGTGAAGTTTCCTTCGGAGGTCCCTTCATCTAGCCTAATTCATCAGCCGGTTTCACTGTGTGGAAACTAGAGCCCGACCGATATGGATTTTGCTGTGGCCGATATGAAACCGATATAATGGAAGTTGGAGCTGCCGATATAATCGCCGATATATTTAGTGATGTAAAAATTCACTGTAAATGTTGAATTGTTTAAAAAACTTAGGTTTGGCTCTGGTGGATTTTAAATTGGGTTTATTTAGGCAACATTTATTGTTATTCTGCCTCTTTACATCATATTTACAGACAGTAGGTTGGCTTAATGGCATTTTTGCATCACATTCTAGACACTAGTGATGGGTATTCCAGTTCTTTTTAGAGAACCGGCTCTTTTGGCTCGGCTCAAAAGTGAGAGAAAGAGAAAACACGGCTCCCAATAAGGATCAGTCTCCCGTCGTTCCCTTTAAAGAGCCGGTTCTAAGAGTCATTTTGTTCGCGACTGACCCATCACTAGTAAAGAAAGTAGCGCTATTAGCCTTTAGCCGTAAATACGTGCGCGCCGCGGTAATTAATTATATGCGCAAATGTCATAATTCACACGTGTATTCACAGCTCATTTACATATCAGTGCAGGTCCAGTAGCAAATATACGGCCAATATAGTCACTTTAGAACAGACCAATAGAAAACAGTCTGTTTATGTGCGGGAGCTACAGCAGCTAACCCATAACAAATGACAAAAACTAGCTTCAGAGTCGACATATTTCCAACACTCACCGCTCATACAGGCTCCTCCTCACATCACAAATCTGCACTAATAAATGTCCTTTTAATCCAGACTCAAACCGATTGTCTGTAAAAAGAAAATAATCTCAGTGTTTGGATCTGTGTCTGCGGGTGTAAACAAACACACGTGAGTGACGCGACTCTGTGGTGTGTTCAGGGACAGTACGGACACACACAGACAAATGACTCCGTAGATAAATACTGATGTGGAGCCACATATTAGGACATTTATCTGTCTGTAAATTGGATTAAATGAACAGAATGTAGAGAGTCTAAGCTTTATAACGAGGTATAACATGCCCACGTGAAATATCGGCCCCTATCAGCAAGCATATCAGCCGATAGCCAATATGCCTAAAGTTGCCCATATCAGCCGATAATATCGGCCAACCGATATATCGGTCGGGCTCTAGTGGAAACCGTCTGACTTCGCAGCATTAGGATTCGTTTGCTTGACAGTAGGCGGGTGCTTTTTTATTTAACCAGTCGCTGCTGTTTGGTTGTGATATATATTTATGATATATATATGCGCTAGAACATTCAGTGGTGTGTAAGTAATTGCCGGCATAACAGCAAACAAAGCAGAGAGTTGTTGTTTCTGCGAGGTGAACTTAAGAATTAAAGGTGCAATAAAAAAATGTTATCCTCCTTTGGACTTCCTTTGTCAAATACAGTCTGTTATTGCAACTCGGGTTGGTTCAGCTCTTCGATGGTTGGCCGGTGCACAGTCTACAATTTCCGGGGTTCTTGCAAACCCTCTAGTGTATTCTGATTCCTGACCTAGTCACTGGAGAGAAATGAAATTGAGCAGAGGCACTAGGTGGTGCCAGCCTGGCTACCCTTCATCCCCACGTACAGCACTTCTTGAGTTTAAAGTCGGTTGGTATATTCTGGGTTGTTTTAGTATTTGTGCTGTGTATATATTATACTGGCTGTGTTAATAAAATATTAACATCTTGAATATTGACAAATATTCCCTTTTACATCAGTGTCTTTATACAATTTCTTCTCTCAGAGCATATGGCCCACATCTTCACCTTTGATAATACTCGGTCGAACAAACGTGGCACGCCCCTTTTCCATGAAAGCACAGCTCAAACTGTGTCTAGTATGAATAGTTTTAAATTGAAATATTCGTTTTCATATCACATCTTAACTAAAGTAAATAGTGTAGATCCAGATCAGCCTCATGTCACAAATTACTAGTGAGTAAAAAATATCAAACTTGCTTCAGCTTTATATATATTTTCTCTCCACAGATCTGACCTGTAAATTGACCTGGTGGGCCACTTGCTTATTCCCAGTGTGACATGTTTTGTAGAAAAAGGTCCATGCTTAATGTTCAGAGATGTATTTGGCTGTGCACAAATGGAAAAGTTTAATCACTTGAGAAAAAATGTCTGAAAACTAAGCACTCAGTCCTCAGTTCTACTTTAGCCTCAAACTCTCTGAAGTAATGAGTTGATGCACAGTTTGCACCATTCTCTGACGGCATGTCCACAATTATAAAACAGATCTGATCTCTGCTCCATTATTATACACCAGCATGTTTCTATTATATTTCAGTCCTAATTATGAACTCAAGTGTGTTTTTGGAATGGTTTATTCCACCATCCACTTCCTCAGGGTCAATACTGAACAGCACCCGCCCTCTCCAAACTGTGCCCAATTGTAATTAAATTCTAACAGTAATTTGCCATACACAATTGCTTTTATTATGGTGAGACTTGATGAGTGTTTTTGAGTATTTTGTGAGTGGGTAATGCATTCATTTGAAGCGGCTTTTTTCTGTATTATCTAAAGGTACACTGTGTAACTTTTCTAGTGCAGGGTCTGCCAAGTCTTTGCCTCCTTTTTTTTTACTAATGTTCCACATCATGGCATGAAAGGACACCTATTATGTAAAATCGACTTTTCAGAGCTTTTGATCATGTTATAGCTCTTCCCCCTTCTCATTTACCCTCTGGTAGTTGTATTTGGAGTGATTCATGCACATTTGAGTAATCTTTAATCACTTATTTTCAAGATGCCATATTGCCAATCACAGACACCCACGCCCACTGCTCTGTACTAACTTAATTCTACAGCTTTATTTTCTCAATCAGGAGTATGTGTAGAATTCAGCAGCATAGTGTAGTCATTTTGGTACAAATGAAAAAAAAAAAATCTGCCTTGCAAGGACCTACTTTGCAAGGCACGCCTGTTTTTTTAAGTGTGTTTCACATTATTAAATCATCCCCAAGGTACATATGAGGCAAAGCAGGCGTGTCAGCGTGTTTGAGCGTTTTGAGCATGTAGCGATATGTGCACTCTGCTCTGGACTGACACGACCGTTTGCACTGGCTCCAATGGAGACACACAATACTCGCTGTGGGTCACACATAGACAAACCTTGCTCTGACTGCTTTGCTTTAGTAACACTGACTGTTCGTGATGACGTTTACGGTGACGTCAGTTCCCATTGGGCACCGCATCTCTCTAAAGCAGTAGTATGCAGACTATTTCTTTAATTAAATTATTTTAGATGACTATTGTGATTTAAAATGTATCCACAGGTGTTGTACATTTAAACTATATAGCACGCTCAAGCACAATATGTACACTCATCTGTTTTTCAACTATTTAATTCATTAGGTTAATCATATGCCTTTTGTTGCCAAAAGAAATACCTTGACTACAAGCATTCTTAAGACTGAGGTCACCTCTCCACAGATCTTACTTGAAACCTGACCTGATGGTGTCACTTGCTTGTTTCCATGGAGGTGTTTAAAGGTCCTATATTATACAAAATGTATTCTTGTAAGCTTTAAGACATGTTATAATGCTGTTACATTGTCAAAACATACCATTGTGTTTTGTTTCAGTCACACATTTCAGTAATATTGGAGTAATATTATTAGTCTGTCTACATCTCCAACGCTCAAAATGCTCTACCTTCTGTGTTATGTAGTGATAGTGAGTTTTCAAGTTAACAGCTACCGTTTTCCTTTAAATTTTCATTAAATATGTGTGAATGGAAAAAAAAATACACAACTCAAGGTATGTTTAATGAGGAAACAACATTATAACAGACCATAACATAGCGTAATATGGTCTCTTTAATGCCATACTGTGGAATATTCCAGGTAAAGCAATAACAGCAGAGAAATAAGCAGGGGGAGATCCTTCACCAAAAAACATGAACAAAATATATAACATTTTCATCTTTATAATCGCTACTTGCATTTTCATTCATTGCTTTTTGGTGGTGTTAGAGCAATGACGTATCCATAGAAATAAGCAGGTGATGGAACCCCAGTCAAAAAGTTACACAGTGCACCTTTAAGTCCTCCAAATTGTTAGCTTTGACACTTCCTACCTGCTTTCTATTCCCAGAACACTTATTAAATGTTTATTAAATCTCATCTTTTGCTACCTCATAGATGACCAAGTTCCAGTTGGTTCTTTACGGCACAATGTAACTATTGGTCTCTGAAAGATTAAAAAGATCGATCGGTTTTCTCCATTCTTCATCTTTAAC